TAAGACATTCAAGTACCTTCAGCACCACTTTTCATCAGGTTTAGGCGAATATAATTATATATTATATTATATAATCATTTTTTTGTTTAAAAAAACTACAGAAGTTAAATGAAGTATAATCACTTCAACCTGGAAATTGAAAGATTTAAAAATATTGTTAAAAGCCTCAAATTACAGTGGCATTTTTGCCCATTCTGAGTGTATGTAAACTTCTGACTGACACCTGTTCTTGTTCAGTTAGGGGACCTTCAATCAGAAATATCTTATTTCTGCTAAAATATAAGTAAAATAAAAAGTTCTAGTCAATTTAAAACTTTATAAAAGAGCGTTTATCTTTCTTTGTTTTTTTTGGACTGGGTACGTTTAAGATGGCAGCCATCCTCTCTCGCCTTGCTAGTAGGCCTGTCACGATCAGTGGTGGAGAAAGTACTCAAACACTGTACTTAAGTAAAAGTACAAATAAACAGACAAAAATGTACTCTAGTAAAAGTAGAAGTACCACATTAACATTTTTACTTAAGTAAAAGTAAATAAGTATTTGCTTTTAAAATACTTAAAGTATTCAAAGTAAACAACAAAAAAGGTTGAATCATGTCACCCGGTGGCTTCTGGGTAATACCAGATGGCTAGGCCTCAGACTGACGAAGCCTCTTGGATGAGGGGCGAAACGTTTCTTTTTAACAAAAAAAAAAAAAAAAACGAAGTCCAGATGACATGATTCAACCTTTTTTGTTGTTATATACCTGGATGACTGAGAAAACAAACTTTGTGTTATTCAAAGTAAAAGTACTTGCTGAATGTATTACATAATGCAATGGTCTCAAAAAACAAAAAAAAGATCAAAACTGAATTGTTAAAAATATATATATATAAAGTAGCTTAGTGTGTTTTTTGTATTAGAATTAGAAAAATTAAAAAGTTATTCATTTTGTTGTTACTTGAAAATTATTGTGATTGAACTAATTGTTTGAAAAAAGGGGCAGATATAATAAGATTTTTTCTTCTTCTGCTGCCTTTCATTTTAAATCTCTTGTATATTTTTTATATTGTTATGGAATTGTTTTGTATTTTTTAAAATGAATAAACTTTATACCATACCAAAAATGGTCTACATATCTTTTAGTGTGCCTACCGTGTGTATATTTTCTGTAATACATTAATAGTGTTGTTCCATTTTAATGAACGATGCTGCAGATAATACATGTTTTTATTGTGTTTACTCTGTGACACAGTTCACACTTGGACTTGTGATTCTGTGCAGCAGAATTTCAGGGATGACATGCAGAGTTAAATGTCATTAATCAAAATAAGAAAGAGGAACGATTATACCTTTGAAAGTTCTTTATTTAACACAAATCAAAACCAATGTGTCATTTTAACTGCAGTAAACACATTTTAGTAAAAGTTGTGTGCCTGAAAAAAGGAGCATTAGACACAACTAACAAAGAAACAGGCTCTGATCATTTCAACTGATATTTCATCTCCAGTTTGTCGTCAACTCTAGTTAAAATACTCTCTAGTCAAACTTGTAATGGGTCAATATTGAACAACATTTTAACTTCCTGACACCATTTTTAAAACTTGGACCTGAGTGTTGAGCCATTTGGAGACATCTCTCGTCTCCTAACATCATGAACTGACACATTTTAATATTGCAGCAAGAATTTCTTGTTCAAGTTCAGAAGAAGTTGGTTTTCAAAGATTTTTGAGTCCAGTCTGGCTCTTTTGGGAGAGAGAATCTGTCCTGTTGTACTGAGCAGTCTTTCAATAAGGCCATGGGTGGAGCAGATCTTCTGGGTGACTCTCTTGTGGTGGAATACATTTTGGGTGTGCTAGTGGTGCTGTGGGTGCACCCAGCTCAGTGACATATATATATACTAGAATATGTGTCATTGGCCCAGCTCTTCTTGAAGGCGGAGCCTAACGTTACCTGCCCACTTTGCAGTGATTCAATGGACCAGCTCCCCTCTCACCATTGGTTACTTTCAAAGTAACAAACAAATCAAAAAGCTGCAACATGAATGTAACTTGTGAAGCAACGCATTATAGAAATGTAGTGTAGTAGAAAGTACAGATACTTGATGTAAAATGTAGTGAAGTAAAAGTATAAAGTACCCACATTTAACTCTACTTAAGTAAAGTACAGTTACACAAAAATGTACTTAAGTACAGTAACGAAGTATTTGTACTGCTTTTAGCCACTATCTGGTTGTTTAGTCATTTTAATTAATTGAATTTTAGTAGCCATTTGCTAGCTACTGCTCTGCTTGTGTAAGCTTTGTTGCTGTTTTGCAAACTTTAGCTTAAACTTTTTGTTGTCTAATTGGGGGCTGCCATTGTAATGCATAGGAGAGCCGTGCACTGTGAAGCAATGCACTGCCTGCCTCCATGTAAATGCATGAAAGCCACCTTTTATTCTACACCCAGTAAAGGTTTCTTTATTTATTTCTTTATTGGGGACCTCTATCTCCGTTAATGCGGCCCGAAACACAATTTGTACCCCCCACAAAAGTTATATCAAAACGACTGGCTCAGCATTTCGAGTTACCATGGCAACGTAATTTGTGAACAAAGACGCAATGTTTCACCAACTCCAGGAACTAGTTGGTGACTGCCCACTTATTATTCTACACCTGAAAAGCGTATCTTTTTCAACTTTAATGCATCCCGAACCGCAACGTGGACCCCCACAAAAGTTATATCAAAACGACCGCCCCGGCCCTGGGAAGTGTGCAATTACTTTTATTGGCATTCGCAATTACGATGGAGACATATTTTGCTAACAAAAATGCCTAATTTCCCATAGGAAATGAATAGGAGAAAACTCTTTACAGAAACTGAGTAACGTCGGGAGCCATTTTGGTTCAACATGCAAGGAAGGCAGTGCATTGCCTTGCGAAGCATGCATGCATCCTCCATGCAATGCATGGAAGGCACCTATTATTATTATTATAAATTAGTGATAGTAATAATTAACATTAATTATTGAAATTAATAATGATTAATATTTATATTAATCATTATAAATATTAATAATTAATGGAAATATTAATTATTAATATTAATTATTAACCATGTATCGATAATTAATCATATGATAATTATTATTGGTTATTAATATTAATAATCATAATTTAATCATAATAATTTAATAATAAATAGTCAGTCTTGATTTTAGTCTCCTGAGTGTCAGTTAACTTCATCTTCTTTCAACTTTAATGTGGCCCGAACCACAATGTGTACCCCCATAAATGTTATACCAAAACGATCAGCTCGGCCCCGTGATGTGTGCTATTACTTTAATTGACCATCAGAGTTACCATGGTGATGTATTTTGCTAACAAAGACCCCTAAATTCTTCATAGGAAATGAATGAGAGAACACTCCTCACACTAAAACTGCTGCTGTCAAGTCACATGACAAAGTGAACAGGTCCCTGAAGAAAACAGAAACTAACTGTTGGATTTGTTTGAAACTCACAGAAAGTAATCATCAGATAAATGTCTAGAAATGATTAAGTTGTGGAGCCATTTTGATCCAAGATGGCTGCCACGGCTACCTCAGCAAACACAAAAAATAACTATACCTCAGCCATTTTTATAGATATTTAGCTGAAATTTGGTACAGTGAGAGCTGAGAGCAAACACAGACACATTTTACTATCAAATCAAGAATTTAAATCAGCAGCAGCCTGGCAGTCCCCGTCAAAGTTTCTCCAGGAACTTTCTAGTTGAAAATTTTTCTTTTTTTAAATATATAAACTGAGAGCCATAACACACAAAACAACAACAAAAGGGACTGACAAAACAATATAGTTGAAAAAGCAATATAGTAAGAAAAAAATTAAAGTTTAACATTAACACTCGTCTACACTCATCTCCAGGCCAGCGGTCACTCTTTCAGGGATGAAGATGTTCACATCCTGGACAGAGAGGAACGATGGTTTGAGAGAAGAGTAAAGGAGGCCATCTTTGTGAAAAGAAACCATCCATCATTAAACAGGGGTGGAGGCCTCCGGGTTCAATTGTCCCCCTCTTACAATGCTGTGATTGCTAGTTTCACTCAGACTCCTGTGAGTAGTACACAGCCATCAGTGTGCTAATGATCCATTGTTAGGCTGATGGTCCTTCTTGAGCATGTGATCAGCTGGTTTTGGTTGTCAGCAGCAAACTGGTTGATCCACTCTGAGAAGGTGCTATTTAAGAGACTGAGCTGAAAACAGCACCTCAGACTGAGGAAGTCTCTTGGATGAGAGACGAAACGTTTCTACATTTTTTTTTGCTTTGTTTTGTTTTTTTGTTTTTTTTGAATGTCCAGAGGACCAGATTGAACTTTTTTGGATTTTTCTACCTGGATTATTGAGCATGCATCAGGATATTCTTAACAGTACGGAAACTAATACAACCTTCACTGCAACAAAACGAATCTGACAAAAATAAAAAGTGATGTTGCTCTAACAGTCAGTGAGTTCAGATTTGAAGAGGAAGGCCCTTCACACCCACACATTGGAAATTCAACAAACGGATCTTTACGATGGCGCACTGATAAATACAGCAACATCGTTACCTCGGAGCACAAATGAACTTCCAGTCATCGTGATCTCGTGCAATGAAACAGGTATTTTATTCTGAATCCAAGTTGAAACAATCGGAGCTAACATAATAAAACCCAGCTCAGTTTCAAGCTTACAAAACTCCAAACATTTGAAAAAATTAAAAGCCTCAAACAGAAGGATGCCATCAATAAAAGTAAATGTTGGACTATAAGAAACAAATTAAGAAGCTTCAATAAAGCAGTTTATAACATGTGTACTTGATTGAGTGCAGGTTCTAAACTAAATGTTCTTGTGTTTTAACAAATACTGATACCAGAAACAAACAAAATGATCTGACTTGAGTATTTAGCTCATTGCAAAACGTGAAAAAAATGAAATGATAAGATACGGATTCTACAGATTCTTTGTAAAACGTATCACAAGCACTCAGCACAAAACAGCTACACTACCCTCTGGTGACCTGCGTGGTGACCACGGTGGTGCCAGACTGGTTTCTACCCCTGATCTTCAGCTCTCGGTTCATCTGGCACCAGACACAGGCGTAGCACCACATTAATTTGCAGCAGTCGTCACAGCAGGAGCCCTGCAGGAGGAAGAGGAGGGAGAGAGGAAGGTGAGAATCACACGTCACTGAATGAGGGTAGATGTTAAATCATCAACATTCCCATCAGCCTCAGCTTTACTCAGTAGAGGTTTTGGACCAAAAAGTTTTCTCTGATGAAAATGTTTGTCAATGAATGATTTGAATCAGCCAAGCTGGATCTGGTCAATGATGTCCTGGAAGGAAGTTCCATTAATTTTCCCTGTGCAGTCAGGGCAGCCATGTCCCTCAGGTATGTGGCGTTAATTCATGATGGAGGATCTTGTAGTTTTCTGCTGTCAAGTTTGAAAGATCAGAGCAAAGACTCGTACAACTACTAATAGTTTTTGTTCTGGGCCAGATGACAATCAATGAGGGTAGAGTCATCTCTCAGACCCACAACACATTTGCCTAGGTGTTCCCCAAGGCACCATACTTGGTCCTAATCGTTCTGTCATTTATATGAACAATGTATGAACAATGTACCAATGTTGTAAACAACTCTCATATTAATTTTTATGCTGATGACACTAGTATACCAACATCTCTCTTAATTATATCCTGTCCTCAAAAATAAAATCCAGAAACGAATTTCGCTTTTGAAAGAAATGCTCACTAACTCATTCTGCCAGAAATCTTATGATAAAAATGACAGTCCTTCCCATCTTTAACTTTGACGATGTCATCTACACAACATCTTATCAACCTTTAATTTAACCAGGCAAAATCCATTAGGGGAGGCCTGGGCCTGGTGGCAACCTAACATTCATGTTTTTGGACTGTGGGAGGAAACTGAAGTACCCAGAGAAAACTCACGCAAACATGAGGAGAACACGCAGACGCCACACAGAAAGACCCCATGTCCAAACCGGGAATTGAACCCAGGACCATATTGCTGTGAAGCAATGGTGCTAACCACTAAGCAGTTGTGCTGTCAAACCCTCCGCCACAAACTGGACACTCTTTACCACGCCACCATTGGATTTGTCATTGAGTTCCCTTCAGGACTTTGAACTGACCTTCTCTTCTCTCCCACTGAGAAACACACTGGTTTATGTCGATCTATAAAACCCCCTCCACTCAAAACTCATTCATACTCACAGCTACAACAATCTACATTCCTCTACAGCTTGCACTTCCTTTGGCCGTTCATTTCAATTTTATGTTGCTGACTGGAACCATTTACGACAGATAGGCCTGTCACAATAACAACTTTTGCTGGTCGATTAATTTTCTCAGAAATTATTGCGATAAACAATAATATTGTTTGAAATTGGACAAAAATTAGTAATTACTAGTGGTGTAATGGTACACGTGGGTGTATTGAACCGTTTTGGTAAAGCATGTTCGGTACAGTCCACTTGCGCACTGTTTCGGTTATTTTTTCACACATTAAATTTTATTAACGAGAGATTATGCGCCGCGGAACTAAAGTTCCTAAGTGTGTTTCAGCACGGTGCTATAGTCTTGCAGCACGTGTAGCATTAGCAGCCTAGCAGGCAACAAACAAGCCAGAGCTTGAAGACTGTTTCATTAAATTGTGGTCTCCTGTTTGGGAACATTATGGCTTTCTTGGTAAAAGACAAGTACAAATCCAAAACTGTGTTGACGTGGTTTCATGGAGATTAGATCTGCAGCAGGAAACATGTTGTTAACACGCTTGAAATGACATCATCCGAATGTGCACCTCTTTTCTACAAGGAAGAAACAACCTTTATCAGGTAATGCAGATCGGACCAAAGCAATAATACAAGCTGTAGAAGTTTTTAAAGCTCTGGGTCTACGTCCGTATTCTGTTGATGCGCTGGTTTAAGCAAACGATTAAAGTTTTTGAGCCCCGCTACGACGTCCCATCACGTCAACACTTCAGCCAAAAAGTTGTACGAGCACTTTGTTTATGAAAAAGCTAAAACTGATCGTCAACAAGCCCGACCCCAGACTTAAAGCCCTGCCACATCGATGATGAGCAAGAGAGAACGTTCAACCACCTCATATCATAAATGATGACCGTGCAAGAAGAGTTATTGTTATTGTATTATTGTGATCTAATTAACTTTTTAATTTAAAATTATAATAGTATTAACTCAATTTTTTTTTACCTCTTTGTGTTTGCAGGATGTCACCGAGAGCTGAGCAGCTGAGTCTACTTCATCTTCAGGGAAATGTTTTATTTATTTTTTACTTGGCATATTTTCAAAATAAATGTTTTTTAAGTCTCTATTTTTGGCCTTTTTTGTACCGAAAATTAACCGAACTGAGCCTCCTTGAAACTGAACCGAAATATGATTTTAGCGTACTGTTACACCCCTAGTAATTATTGTCAAATTTAAGAAGAAATGTTGTGATGAATAGACAGGCTGGGTGTGTTATTCACTGGACATTTTATAAACTGTGTGTTCACTTTATTCTGTACTCTGTGTGTTCACTTTTTGCATAGTTTTATATTTTTTACTTTATTCACATCATATCTATTTGTGTGCGTTATAAACTGTTCACTTGTACTTCATCACAGAGGTGGAAAACTTGTTTGCATAGATACAGCACTGAGCAGGAAGGAGGGGCCGAATCGTTTTTCTGTAGACAGAGAACAACTTGAGACTGGTACCAAAAGCCAGTTAAAACTAGTTTTTCCTTGAAAGATAAGAAATATGACTGCGTGGTTGCCAAGGTAACCTTAGATTGACTAGGTGGTCAGCCAATAGGAGAAGATCCCCCTCCAGGAGGGAGGCGGGTTCATGAAGAGCTTATATTATCCTAAAACAGGAAGTAGCGTCAGGCAATCTTGAGCAGAGCAACTTCTCAGGTGAAGTACGCCTCTATTGTCTCCTGAAATGCATTCCAGAACTTTGTTTTTGTAATACTTTAACTGTGGTGTGTATTAAAACTCTCTTAAACTAAGGTGAAGTCTCCTGGTGATACCACTCGATCCAAACAACTCGGAGAATGGTGTTCGTACCATTCAACAGTTGGTTAACTTGTTTTGAGTATAGTACCTCTTTTCAACCACCGGATGGCAGTATAAGAAGGTTTGAACCAAAGGATGGATGGTGAGGGAGCGAGCAGCGTGTCTCTTTAAGAAAAATGGGAGGGGGGCCCCTTGACGTTACATGGGCTGTCTATCTTTCCTTTTTTCGGTTCTCACAATGTCAGACGCTCAGTGGTTTGAACTCTTTAGCATTGCATTTTTCACTCAAAGTTTTTAATAAAAACACCAGTAAACAAGTTCTCAGCTTCTTTTTGCAGAGAAAAACAACTTTTACATGAAGGCACGGGTTTCAACCGTGAATTTTGGGGCTTCGACAAGACGGAGTTTTTTTCCCGACGTTGGCCTGTTAGCTTAGCTTCTCAGCTTAGCTGCTTTTAGCGATTCAAAAACACGATTTTGGACGGTTAAAACAGATTTTAAAGAGAAAAGAGAAAGGGAGGGGTCAGTGACGAGCACTGGAGTTGAGTCTTTTGTCATCCAGTGTCTTCAGTAGAAAGAGAGAGACACGAAGAAACGATAAAGCCGATAAATGAAAACGAGGTTGATAATTTTCATTCATCATGCAATTAATTGATTTATTGTTTATTGTGACAGGCCTATCAACAGACTCTACTTCCTTTACTCCTGTAAAGTTACTCCCCCCCTCCCACCACCATTGCTCCAGGGCCCCCCGGGGGTGGCGGGCCCCACTATTTGAGAAGGACTGCTTGACTCTAATTAATCTTTTAAAGGTTCAGTGTGAGCATCACCTCATGTAGAATAATCTAATTTTTACATTTTGTTGTTACGTTCTTACTTGTGTATTCATTTAGCTTTCGTTAACCATTTGGTCTGTGATGATTGCTATTCTTCTGCTGTCTTACCACTTCTGCTGCTTGAGAGTTAGAATTTGTTTTGAACTTGGTTGAATACAAACTTAAAATAAAAAAAATAGTGACATTTAGCAGTGTATTGGTCTGCTACTGCCTTGGACAGGAAGCCTCAGCTCGTGGCATCTACAACCAAAACGTGAAAAACTGTTCATCACACAGCTATCAACTCCGACACAATAAAAGTCAGAAAAAGAGCAGGACGTCGGGGAACAAATTCTTATCCATTCCTTCTTACTGCGTCCTGAATTGCTTGGTTAAATAATGACTGAACCAAATTCATAACTCTGGACTGAATGCTGCTGCAGCTGGGAACAATGCTGGCAACACAAAACGCTGCAGCCGTTAAATAAAAACCTGTTGTGGGTTAGTAACAGCAGGGGCTGATTGTTTTCTCTCTAAAGTGATGGAAAGTACTTTAGCAGCACAATATTAAGTTGTGTTATGATGACATCTTTGTTTAGAGTATTTTTTTCTCTTAACCCTCATGAGGTCTTATGGGGGAAAATCAGCCAAGCATTTGGTTGTGTCTGCATTTTTTTTATTTATGTATGTGTTTTTTTAATGCTTTGCTTTTTACTTGTGAGTGTCTTTGTAAAAATTTAAATTTCATCCCGGAAAGTGGAACGTCCTTCCTGAATGGACGTCAATGTCAAGTTCTGTCTCTCATATTGTTATAAAGTCATAAAGTTATTTTGGTTTGAATGTAAAAAGCACAAGCACGCTTGCGTCATGCCAAGTAAACACAGTACAAAAAGCGATATCCACCGTCGCTGAGGGATTTGAATAGTGAATGTTAGCAGTTTTTTTTCTGAGCTGGATTTTGTTGTGGCAACCCATCTGGGACAACAGTGACCTTTCTTATGCCTAGATGTAGCCACACACCAAAATGGAAGGCTGCTCCTACGGGTGCCCTAGATCACAGCCCTATGCTCCACATATGTTGGCTGTGGTAGCTCAGTGGTCAGTGGTGGAGTGAGGAAGAGCTTCCAGTGTAAAAACAATTAACAAGTCGTTCCTGAAGAAGAGAGCAGCAAAAGGGAAGAAAAGAGTAATAATTACCATATTTTTCAGCCTATAAGTCACTTTTTTTTGCATAATTTGCATGCCCTGTGACTTACATGTCGAAGCGACTTATTTATGGATTT